TGTCCAAAAATGAAGCCAAAATGGTTTTTTTTTTTTTGTTAGCGCTGCCCAGGGGTCAAACCCACTACAAGTGTCAATCATTTAGTTTGTAGCAGAGCTTCAGACTGCACACACCTCATTAGTCGGCGGCGGTAATGCTCYATTAAGTTGTTTGCCAACCGCCCAAGAAAAAAGAAGAAGAAGCTGCAGACTGAAGACAAATTTATGGTGCCTGTCGCTGTCTGATCTGTTGGCCCATTTCATACCTCGGTTCCTTTGTGCACGCGCTAAAAGAAATACTGTTTGATTGTTTTTAGCATGTAGCATTTCACTACACCGCTTGATGACAAAGTGGATTTTATCACCAGTAATGTTTCATAGAAAAGACAACGTTTGCAACAGATGTGGATTTTTATTGATGAGATGAGATAAATTATAACATTGTCTAGAAAAATCAGTCTGTTTAGGTCCACAAGTTAGTATAAATAAATATGTACACATCCTAAACGTATATTGTATTAACTAGGATGCATATGATATTTAATTCAATTTAGCAAAAATGTTGTCGAGTATTTTCTCTCTAATCGAGTGCATTAACAGATAATCCAGATGGATATTTTTTAGCACATCAAATGAGCTGATGGTAAAATCTTCAGGAAGCCCAGAGAATTACTGACGAAGAACACTTTCTTTAAAAGATTACAAGAAATCTCTGGTCTTTGAAAAGTAAATCAATTAGAAGTGGTTTAAAACTTGTGAACAATACTGTTTACACACACACGCTGCATGTCTCACCTTGAACAGTACTCACAGCAGGTCAGGTGGTCGGTCAGTCGGAGGGGTGTTCAGGGCAGGACCGATTGATCTCAAACCAGGAGTCTATACAGCTGCAGAAACACACACACACACACACACACACACACACACAAAGGTGTTTTGTCAGCATTTATACTGGAGGAACTGCAAACAGCAGATGAATTCAGAAATCTAATCAAGATGTAAAAGATAGGAGGAAAACATTTGAAGCATCAAAAATCATGGATTCAGAATTACAGGAAATTGTTGCTAAAGTAACATATTTATGTTGGAAGGTCTCCAGATCCTCCCACATCAGGAGCGCACACACACACACACACACACACACACACACACACACACACACACACACACACACACACACTATGCAAGATATACTGTAAGTGAACCTCAGGGGTAAACAGAACTCACATATGACCTATTTTAAATTTTACACACATTTTACCTGTCTGTAGTGTGTGTGTGTGTGTGTGTGTGTGTGTGTGTGTGTGTGTGTGTGTGTGTGTGTGTGTGTGTGTG